GTTGGTCCACACCTGCCCCCTCCAACTTCCCCCTCAGCAGTGATGGCTGGATTGTGTTGAAAGCACTGGAGAAGTCAAAGAACATGACCCTCACAAGACTTCCGGGGGACTCCAGGCGAGATAGGGCATTTAGATAATAGCGTCGTCTACCCCGATGCCAGGTTGATATGCAAACTGCAGCGGGTCCAGCGCTGAGCTCACTTGGGCACGGAGGTGGCAGAGGACAATCCTCTCCATGGTCTTCATCAGGTGGGAGGTCAGGGCAACGGGTCTATAGTGGTTTGCCTTCTTGGGATGAGTTATTTTAGGAACTGGGACCACACAGGATGTCTTCCACAGAACCGGAACTCGCTCCAGGCTAAGACTCAGATTAAACATGTACAGGACCACCTCAGTGAGCTGGTCTGCACACTCCTTGAGGACCCTGGGGCTGATGTGGTCAGGGCCTGTGGCCTTCCTGGCTTTAATCGTCCTTAACTCCCTCCTGACATGGTCCACCGTGAGGCTGAGGGGACGGGTGGGCGGTGACTGCTCAGGAGCTGTGGGCTGTTGGGAACCCCCCATGACAGTCAGAGGAGGGGCAAGGTCGGGCTGAGGTGTGAGCAGCTGCATCTGCGAGGGGACAACTGACCTGGAGAGGTGAGATGGGGGGGGCTGGCACGGTGGGGGCTAAGGACTTGGTAGAGTCAAATCTGCTAAAAAACAGATTCAGTTCATTTGCCCAGGCCTTGTCCCCCGCGACCTGGTGACCATCACCACTTTTACCATGACCCGAGATGTGTTTCAGGCCTCTCCACACCTCACGCACGTTGTTATTCTCCATGCGCTGCTCCAGCTTCTTCTGTAGCTAGCCTTGCACCCCGGATCATATATTTTAGTTCCCGCTGCACCCTGCTCAGTTCCTCCTTGTCCCCTGAGAGGAAAGCCCTCTTCTTCTCATTTAGCAGTACTTTTAACTCGGGGATCACCCACAGCTTGTTGTTAGGAAAACACTGTACTCTCCTGGATGGTACGGTATTATCCACACAGAATTTTATGTAATCCGAAACACAGTGTGTGAGGCCGTCTATGTCCTCTCCATGAGGACTGCAGGGGATGTCCCAGTCTGTAGTGTGAAAACAGTCACTCAGCTGCTCAATTGCCTCCTCTGTCCATACCTTGACTACCCTGACCTGTGGTGACACCTTTTTCACCACTGGAGTATACACAAGGTTGTGGTCAGAGCGACCTAGAGGGGGGAGGGGGGCGGAGGTGTATGCATTTCTGGCATTAAGAAAGACTGTGCACTAAGACAACCGGGCACAGGGACAGTTTCTTCCCCCAGGCTGTCACTCTGATGAACACTTAACCCATGACAGTATGACTGGACAATAACCCTCCGTGCAATACCTGTAAATATACATTGTACAGATTACACAGACTCGTACAAGTCTCTAGTACTCTGTTTTAAGTACTCTATTTTTATCCCTAATTATCTCATTTCAATGAACATTCCCTTGTTGTCTGCATTGTTTACTGTCTATTTATACTGTTTTTTTCTGCATTTTCTGCACTGGTTGTTGATGTTAATACTGCTATTTTGTTGTATTACACAGCCTTATGCTGGTCTACTGTTTGCACATTGAGAGCCGATGTACCACAGTCAAATTCCTCGTGTGTCCAACACACCTGGCCAATAAACTGATTCTGATTCTGATTCTGATTTGCATACAGTAGGTCCAGAGTTTTATTGTCCCTTGTGTGGCAATTAACATACTGTTTGAAGTTAGGGAGGGTGGCAGAGAAGGGGAGGGAGGCATAGTTAAAGTCCCCTGAGATGAGGATTAATGCATGTGGGTGTTGTGCCTGCAGCCGAGACATGGTGCTCTGTCATTTAGTCATTTAGAAAAAAGCAATACAACAAAAACACAAAAAACCATAATGAACAAGGAATTTAAAAAATACTCTAATAAAGAGCATAAAAAAAAATGAAGACTTAATGGAGAATACAATAGACCAGAATAAAACTTGTACAAACGGGCTGTTGTTTTTCAGATTCACAGTCAGTCAGTAAATCACAATGTGCAGTTATATAAGATGGAGCAGGAAACTGACAAATGAAAGGAGTTCCACTGAAAGCAAAAGAAAAATGGCTATAGAATGCATTGTTCAGTTTAAAATACTGTATCTTCCAGTCAGTGGGATGGTACAGTGGTTTACCAACCTGTGACTTTAAAGGAAAGAGAAGGAAAGAAAAGAACAAGAGAACAGGATGGAGTTGGGAACAACTAGAAAATGAAACTAGAGAAATGCATTTCCTGTCAAAAATGCCTGTGGATGCTGATAAAAGCTGAAAGATCATCCTGAAAATGCCTGAAATCAATTGCTGAAACAGCTGAAAGATGAGAATAAATGGCTGACGTTCTTTGTTGAAATAGATGAGAAGAAATGGCTGAAGTTCTTTGTTGAATAATAAGGATGATATGCAATAAAGTAGGAATGGCCTTGAAGAGCTGAACATTTTGATACCTGAATGGCTTTTCTAGCTGAAGGTATGCTGAACTTATTAATAAAATGCTGAACATTTTAACGCCTGAAAAGCATATCTACCTGAAAGTATGCTGAAGTACAATTTTCTCATTAATTTGAATGGGGGGAAATTTTCAAAATAAAGCTAAATATTTCAGAAGTGTGAAGTGTATAAAAATTCTGAGTTGAAGAATGAATGTCCTGGGAGACTTGAACATTTTGATACCTGAAATAGCTGAAGGTATTCTTAAGTAGAATTTCCCCATTTATTTGAAAGGGGCAAACTTTTCATAATAAAACTAAATATTTTGAACGTGTGATGTTTTGAAAAATTGTTAATAGAAGCATGAATGTCCTTGAAGAGCTGAACGTTTTGATACCCGAAATAGGTAAAGGTATGCTGAAGTAGAATTTTCCCATTCATTTGAATGGGCCAAGATTTTAAAAATAAAGATAAATATTTCAAAGGTATGAGATTTAGAAAAATTCTGAAGAGAAGCATGAATGTAATTGGAGAGCTGAACATTTTGATACCCGAAATTGCTGAAAGTATGCTCAGTGTAGAATTTCCCCATTCATTTGAATGCGGCAAGATTTTCAAAATAAAGCTAAATATTTTAAAAGTATGAAGTTTACAAATAGACAGGAAACCACATACAGGAACTAGACCAGGGTCGCATAGCAACGCTCCTGGTTACAAGAGTAGAAGAGAAGTGAGCCAGAGGTGCGGCTTCTAAAATCTGCAGACAACAACTAACTGTTTATAAAAGACGTACATAGGAGTGTAATGTCTGGTTCAGAAGGTCAGGATGTTATTCTCAGAATTTCACAGATCAAAATCTGCCTGGCGACAAGATCACCAAATGAGGGGTCAGAACGAGGTCAACAAACCAACCAAGGAACGAGGATGAAGGACAGCACGGATGACGTCAAGATCTTTGCATATTCATGACTGTATTGTAAATTCTCTGTGGAGAGGAGACTCGCGGTTCCGGCTTCCTGCAGCAGTTGTGCACTATACTTCTGTGTGATAGGGCTTCAGATAGAGATGGAACCCAGAGCTCTGTATCGCTTTTCTCGAATATTGTAATAAATATTTTAAAAGACAGATTTGTCTTTGAGCATTCTTCATAAAAGAACACGCAGGACTGCTTTAGTCCTACAACCACCACTAATGTAGGGCTGCCTCTTAAAAGTCTCAGAGTTTATCAATAGATAAGGCTCTAGGTCATCTTCCATTTTGTCAGTCAAATTGTTTCTTTTGTGTTTGGGCCTTGTCATTATACAAAGAATATTGCGGGTTGACAACCTCCTAAAAGAAGCACTGTGGTGTGTTGTATAGTACAAAATAATGGAATTTTAATTTTAAAATAATTTAGTCATTTACATGTACCCACACATGTTCAGTTCTACAGAAACATGTTCAGACACCTTATGAACACTCAGCATCAGTGTGTGCAATATTATTTAGTCTTATTATAATTATATCAAATGAAGCCAACATACTCTCCCCTCTCTAAATCTGCCCCTCCCCTCTACTTTGATGTGTTTTCTACTCTCACACTCATGGTAGAGCATTGTAAAACAGTGTGAATTTATACTGAGTAAAAAGGAGATAGAACTAGCACAAGTTGATCCTTGTGCAGTAGTTTATGTTATGGGCACTAATCCTGTACACAACACTCACTTGTAATGTTATCAGTTATTAATGGGTACAACAATGTGGAAATGTAGCAACTGTAAAAGAATTGTAGAACACAATGCAGATCACACACCAGTAGGAGTACAACAACATAGGAAGTTATGGTAATAATTTCATTGCCACAGTTCTTGCTTTTATGCTATAAAACACTCCCAGATGCTCCCTATGGTTACACATACTACAGAGGTTTCATGCAGGACCTTATAGATACGTCATATTAAAGTACTTTTAAAGTTAAATTGGTTACTTTTTACAATTAACACTGTCTATTTTTCTTTATTTCCTCCAGACCCCATCCACTTAAGGACTCTGGGTATCCACTGGTAAGGAGTCTACACTTTTCACTTCTCTCTCCACACTTTGTTAGTTAAAATGCCAGCATAAATGTATATCCAAATGTGTATAACCATTTGCCTGTTCTAACTGTTGTGTTGTGTTGATTGTAATGCTTTCTTTTTTCCTACCTTTTTTCCTGCTACTCTACATAGCTGCAGAAATACATAAGCTACAAGATGTTTAACATAGTCCTCATGTGATCAAGCTAACAGCATGGAGCAAGGGAGAACATCCATCTGTAGATACTTTGTGACAGAAACGCCAATAGGTCCCATCGCTGTTTGTAATATATGCAAGGTTAACGTTCCGAGGGGTGGCGGTAAAACGTCGAATTACAACACTACAAATTTAATAAAGCATCTACAGGGATTTCATCCAAACGAGCATGCAAAGTTCAACGAGCAGAACAAACAAAGCAAGACGGAACGAAGCAACTAACTTGAATAGCACCTACTTCACGATTGCAAGCCTGTTGGAACAGAGGCATAGGCACACAGAGTCCTGTGTGCCTATGCTGCTGACCATAACCTACCCAAAACTCTCACAGCTAACCAGTGGGCCTTGTTTGAAAAAACAAAGATCTGTCTCGAACCGTTTGAGGAGTTTACTAGGAAGGTGAGCTCAGCCACTGCATCTGCTGCTGATGTTATCCCAAGTGTCACTGTTCTTAAACGAGTCCTCTCCATGGAAACCGAGACTGGTGCTGGGATTAAAACTATCAAAAAAACCCTCCTAGAAGCCATCGACAAACGCTTCAGCACAGTCGAAAATGAACTTCTGTATACACTTTCATCTCTGCTGGACCCAAGATACAAAGACAGGTAGGACTATATACTTAAACTATTAATAATTATTCTCTCTTATATACACACACACACTTTTTCTTGACTACTTATTTAGCTGCATTAGTCATTTTCTCAGACTTGCACTGTGACTGCAAAAAGATGCCATGATGTAAATTAAAATTTAATAGAACTGAGAAAACATTAATAGAATCAACATAGTACATGTACACTATGTATTTTACATATATTATTACTTGTATTTCAGATTTAAAGTAAGGATAAATGTGCTGCTATTTGGTACAGTGCCTTGCGAAAGTATTCGGCCCCCTTGAACTTTGTGACCTTTTGCCACATTTCAGGCTTCAAACATAAAGATATAAAACTGTATTTTTTGTGAAGAATCAACAACAAGTGGGACACAATCATGAAGTGGAACGAAATTTATTGGATATTTCAAACTTTTTTAACAAATAAAAAACTGAAAAATTGGGCGTGCAAAATTATTCAGCCCCCTTAAGTTAATACTTTGTAGCGCCACCTTTTGCTGCGATTACAGCTGTAAGTCACTTGGGGTATGTCTCTATCAGTTTTGCACATCAAGAGACTGAAATTTTTGCCCATTCCGCCTTGCAAAACAGCTCGAGCTCAGTGAGGTTGGATGGAGAGCATTTGTGAACAGCAGTTTTCAGTTCTTCCCACAGATTCTCGATTGGATTCAGGTCTGGACTTTGACTTGGCCATTCTAACACCTGGATATGTTTATTTGTGAACCATTCCATTGTAGATTTTGCTTTATGTTTTGAATCATTGTCTTGTTGGAAGACAAATCTCCGTCCCAGTCTCAGGTCTTTTGCAGACTCCATCAGGTTTCCTTCCAGAATAGTCCTGTATTTGGCTCCATCCATCTTCCCATCAATTTGAACCATCTTCCCTGTCCCTGCTGAAGAAAAGCAGGCCCAAACCAGGATGCTGCCACCACCATGTTTGACAGGGGGGATGGTGTGTTCAGGGTGATGAGCTGTGTTGCTTTTACGCCAAACATAACGTTTTGCATTGTTGCCAAAAAGTTCAATTTTGGTTTCATCTGACCAGAGCACCTTCTTCCACATGTTTGGTGTGTCTCCCAGGTGGCTTGTGGCAAACTTTAAACGACACTTTTTATGGATATCTTTAAGAAATGGCTTTCTTCTTGCCACTCTTCCATAAAGGCCAGATTTGTGCAGTATACGACTGATTGTTGTCCTATGGACAGAGTCTCCCACCTCAGCTGTAGATCTCTGCAGTTCATCCAGAGTGATCATGGGCCGCTTGGCTGCATCTCTGATCAGTCTTCTCCTTGTATGAGCTGAAAGTTTAGAGGGACGGCCAGGTCTTGGTAGATTTGCAGTGGTCTGATACTCCTTCCATTTCAATATTATCACTTGCACAGTGCTCCTTGGGATGTTTAAAGCTTGGGAAATCTTTTTGTATCCAAATCCGGCTTTAAACTTCTCCACAACAGTATCTCGGACCTGCCTGGTGTGTTCCTTGTTCTTCATGATGCTCTCTGCGCTTTAAACGGACCTCTGAGACTATCACAGTGCAGGTGCATTTATACGGAGACTTGATTACACACAGGTGGATTCTATTTATCATCATTAGTCATTTAGGTCAACATTGGATCATTCAGAGATCCTCACTGAACTTCTGGAGAGAGTTTGCTGCACTGAAAGTAAAGGGGCTGAATAATTTTGCACGCCCAATTATTCAGTTTTTTATTTGTTAAAAAAGTTTGAAATATCCAATAAATTTCGTTCCACTTCATGATTGTGTCCCACTTGTTGTTGATTCTTCACAAAAAATTACAGTTTTATATCTTTATGTTTGAAGCCTGAAATGTGGCAAAAGGTCGCAAAGTTCAAGGGGGCCGAATACTTTCGCAAGGCACTGTATAAAGCACTTGAACACAGCCGAGGCCAACAAAGTGCTTAACATAAGATACAATTCAAAACATCTAAAAACGTGACAACTACAATATTAAAATACCAATAAAATAACATAAAAGAACCAACATAGC